TAATTTCAAATTTTAGATAGATTGTTTTAAATTGATATTGCTTATATTAGATAGATAGGTTTGTTTCATAATATTTATAATAAAGATAATTTAAAAAAGTACTTACAAACTAATTCTTTGAGAACCGCGATAAAAACCCTATACTTACATATATCATTCAAATTTACTCATTGCTCATACAACAACAACACATCATAACATTATATATATATATATATATATATATATATATATATATATATATATATATATATATATATGTATATATATTATTACAAATATAAATAATAAATTAATTTTCCACTAATACATTAGTACATTTATTTTCCACTAATATTTATTATTTCAAAATTGGGAAAGTACGCTATTAAAATTTGTTTTAATAATTGGGTTAACAATAATTTTTATCAAGTGGTGAAATATACTTCTTATCATTTATTAATATATATTGCGCCGTGCTCCTAATAAAATGCAATGTAAAAATAATCTTTAATAAGCCTAATTTTTTTATCATAGCTTTACGTAACATATGAATAATGTGTAATTATTAGTTAAAATAATAATCTCAAAAGTTTAAAGTAAAAATTGTAAAAATTTCTTAAATATGCAAATGGTCAAGTGTACCTTCATTATAAGAGGATTTGAAACTGTTCTTGTGTCATGTTTAAGGTAAATATTGTATTTATATGGGATTTGTTTCTCCAATTTAACAGGTGAGTTACTTGGTCCCGATCTTGTAGGCAAAAAGCCATGTTTTAGTTTATTCGTCTTCCGGGTTTGGACCGTGTCATTTGTGAGTGACCCAAAAGTAGGTTCATCTCGACGTTTCGCTACAATTGTATGTAGCTTTTTCAGGAGGACAAAGAAAAGAAATCAAAAGACAGGAAGATGGGTAATTAGCAACGGTAACTCACAGTAACTCAACTACTTAACGCAGCCAGAGGTGAAAACCAAATGCCAGGACAGGGATTCACGTCCAACAGCTCAGAACACTAACGCGTCGAGAGGCGGGGAGTGAATCCCGGCGGTCCAAACCCGGAAGACAAATAAACTATAATTCTGACTCTGGCCGTGGAAGCCTACGATTTCATTTAGCCATGTTTTAATTTAATAAATTCTGAATGTGGTGTTGTACCTTCTTCTTCTTCTTCTCCCTTCCTGTCTGTAGGCCTGTTTTTTCTTCAATAATAGCCTCTCAAATTGTTTAAATTGTCACACCATCTTTTTCTTGGTCTGCCAATACTTCTTCGTCCATTTGGTGATTTATCTCGTGCTATTAGTACTATCCTATCCCCTGCCATTCTACTGATGTGTTCGTTCCACTCTCGTTTCCGTGTTTTCACCCATCCATTTATGTTTTCTATATTGCATGCTCTTCTTATGTTTCGCTTCTCTTTCTATTCAACAGACTTTTCCCCGATATTCGTCGGAGTATTTTAATCTCTGTTGTTTCTAGTAGTTGTCTCGTTCTAGATGTGTCAGGTCTTGTCTCCGCCGTATATGTTAATATATTATAGATTTATAGATTCTGTTTTATTTTTGAGTGAATTTATGGATATTTCTACTTCCTAAAAACTGATTTCTATTTCGTGTATTAATTCAGGTACGTTATTGTGTTGATTATTATTTTCTTTTGTTTTAAACAGTTTCGTCAGATATCTTTCCCATTCGTTTGCTGGTATGTTATTGTATTCCTTCAATTCTGCCATTTCTTTCCGTTGGTTTCTTATGAATCTCCATATTTGTTTTTGTGTACCATAAAAGTCGCTTTCCATCCTTTTTGTAAACTGTTCTTAACAATTTTTGTTCTTCTTACCAACTGCTTTGTTTCATTTCGTATTCTTCTATAGGCGTCTCGGGATTCTATGTTGTTTGGTGTTTTTTACTTCGTTTAGGTCTCTCTTTTCTCTTTACATTTCTCTTTTATTTCTTTTATGAACCATGGTGTATTGTTTTTGTTTCTTTTGTTCAGTATGACCTTACGTTTTCCTAGAGCTTCTTTTTCAAACAACTTTAAAGTTGCTGCTTTTTCAAAGTTATTTTTAATTTTCTCCCAGCTCGCGTTTATATCTTTAATGTCATCTATTTGTTTCAGCTGTATCTTCTGTGCTAGCCTCTTTTGGTACATTTCTCTTGTAGAGCCGTTCCACAGTGATTCTACATCAAATTATTGCAAACCTAAGGAGGAACGGGACATATTCTACAAACAATTGCAAAACATCCTGGATGAAATTTCGTGAAGAGCCGTTAAATCTTATGGGTGACTTTAATGCACGAATCGAAAATAAAATAGTTTTAGGAGTAAAACAAAGATTTAATGAAAACCATGTCAACGCAAATGGAGAACTAATGGCTAATCTCTGTGCTTTTAACGAACTGAGAATCAATAAAACATTTTTCGACCAGAAGATCCAGTATAAATATACATTTAAAAACTCCAGGGGGCATAAATCTATGATTGATTTTATAGTAACTAATAGAAAAAACCACCCAAAGCAAATTCTAGACATCCAAACTTTAAACTCAGCAGACGCAGGGACTGTACTCTGAGGTTGATATCAATTGCTCATTTTTTTGAGTGTTTAAGTATTATGTTCTGTGCTCTATGCACAGACAATACCTACTTATTTTTTACTATATAGTGGTTTTATAAACAAGATTTTGGATTACCCATGGGCTTTTCATTATCTTCATTATTAACAGATATTTTCATGGAGGAATTTGAGCAAAACATTTTGCCCGAACACAACTCAATTTCTCATGGACCGCAAGCACTGAATAAATTTTTGGTGGACATAGAGAAGAATTAATCCAATTCACAATAGAAAAAGAAAATATCAACAAACTACATTTTCTGGATGTGTTAATCACAAAAGAGGATGCAGAAAATGCAGCCAAAGTGTACAGAAAACCAACCCACACCAACATATTTAAATTGTCACTCAAACCACAACGTAAATATTAAAAGGGGAATTCATCATCATCATCTTCAATCCTTTATGGATCCTGACCTACTCTAAGATTAGTTGCCATTCTGTTCGGTTTCTGGCACGCGTTGCCATCTTCTGATCTCTAGTATACCTAAGTCGGTCTTAACTCCATCTAACCACCTAATTCGCGGTCAGCCTCTGCTTCTTCTTCTTATAGATGTTCCTATCGTTAGCTTTTTAGCAATCACGTCAGTCATTCGTATTATGTGTCCGGTCCATTTGTCGCTGTCGCTGTGTTTTAATGATCGTTTTTAGCTTCAAATATTTTGCGGAGTCTATTAGGCTCGAATATTCTCAGAAGTCTTTCATCCTTCTGCGTTAGAGTCCATCTTTCCGCCCCGTATGTGAGGACCGGCCTCAGCAGTGTGTTGTCTAAATAATTGTAGTTTTTCTTTGGATATTTCTTTAGTGGAATTATTAGTCCATAGTATGTCCTATTTGTAAGGATTATTCGTCTTTTATTTTCCTCGCTTGTTTTATCGATAGTAGTAACTAGCAAGCCAAGGTATGTGAAGCTGTCAACACATTCAAAGATATGACTTCCAAATACTGTTTCTCGTTCTTCATTTGCTATAGGATCTTTAGTAACTAACATGTACTTGGTTTTGGCTTCGTTGATGACTAGACCGACCTGTTTCACTGTCGTTTCCAATTCTAGGAAATATTGCTCAATATCTCGCTTGCTACGACCTATAATGTCAATATCATCAGCCTATGCTAAGATTTGTATCGATCTATTGTAAATAGTACCACCGTCTCTAACACGTGTATCTTGGACTATCTTTTCCAAGGCAACGTTAAATAGGAGACAAGTCAGGGCATACCCTTATCTGAGTCCATCCTTTATCTCAAAAGATCTAGAATTTTCTCCTTGTATCCTAACGCTGACTTTTAAGTTAGGCATTGTTATTCTCGTTAATCGGATAAGTTTTTCTGGTACAGTACTGTTCTCTTGACACTTTCGTATGCGGCCTTGAAGTTGACGAATAGGTGATGGGTTTCAATGTTAAATTATAATGTATTTTCGAGGATCTGTCTTATTGAATGAAGCTGTTCGATTGTTGATTTTTCTAGAGTAAATCCAGCCTTTTATTTTCCAACTATGCCAACTTTGTAAACTTGTAACCTTTCGTATAAAATATTTGCTAGTATTTTGTAAGCAGTTGTTTACCGGGTTATACCTCTGTAATTATCAAACTGGAACCTTTTTTATGTAACGGGCATATCACACCTTGAGGCTATTCACAGAGCATGGTCTCAATTTGACAGACAAGAAGTAAAAGTTTATGCAGTGCTTATATTAGGGCGTCGCCATCATTCTTGTAGAGCTCACTAAAAATTTGATCAGTTCCTGGTGCTTTATTATTTTTAAGGTTCTTTATGGCTTGGACAACCTCTTCAGTGGTAGATGGTTTTTAAAAGGATAATTATCAAAACATATTATTGATAGAGCCCAAAACATCTATTTTAATAAAAATGCAATTCAGAATGAAAAAACCTGCTAACAAAGGTTTTAACAAAAAATGATTAACCATTGTTATTTATAAAAAAGGAATTTCACAAGATTGAAAAAAGGAAATAATATAACACCATAAGCAATCCAGAAATGCTCGCAATTTTAGAACTGTTATGTTATCAAACGTATAGCAGAACATAAAAGGGCTTTCAATAATAGAAAAACAGACTCTACGTACGCATTTCACCTTCTAGACCATAATCATTCTTTTAATGCCGAATCTTAAATTCTTCACATTCAAAATAAAGGCCTTAATCTATCTTTATTAGAATCTATGGAAATGCGTCAGTATAGAAGGTTCGCTTCAAAAATTAAAAAGGATAGGTTTTAAATACATTCTAAACAACCAATACACTGAGATCTATTATTTCCAAAACCAAACCAAACAGCACACAGAAGAGATCAAAGAACAGCATCTATAAAATACCTGTTGTGTGTGTTTTCATCATTAAATAAAAGAAATATATATTAATCTGGTTTCATACGTGACTTACCTTAAATTTTTGTACATAGCTGAATAAACGGGAAATCCATACTTGTCCTCTCCTACGTCATCTGTGTAAACCCAGGTACCTCCTAACCCTTCTGCCATTTCAAAAACATCACACTCGAATCCATTTTCCTTGATGTGCTTTGCTGAAGAAACCCCAGATGCACCTGCTCCAATCACAGCTACTCTCATTTTGCCAAAAAATACCTGAGAAAATTAAAAGGGTAATGTAGTCTGATGACCTAGATGTAAAATGAAATACTGAGAACATCAAACACACAGAGGCACACACATTTACATTTTAAGGATTATACATTATAATTATGGTAATACATTAAGTTTAGATCACACTTAGTCAACAACTAGAGAAATTAGAGATTTTTCTGACAACGATTGGATTATCATAAATGTTTGCACTAATAAAGCAACTTGGGCTGACAGGCAATTTATAGATACCAAGTGCTAAAGGTCTTAAAGTGCTTAAAGCAGTGTTTCTCAACCTTTTACCATTTGCGACCCAATTTTCCATAATCATTTAAAAAAAAAAGAGGTTTGTCTTCGTAAGTGGGTATATTTATTTAAAAACCCTTAAAAAAGCTACATAAAAAAACAAACGTTTTCGGACTAAACAGTCCATCATCAGGTTTAAAATCGCCTAAAATAAGTATTAACCATTTAGTTAAAACAAACGTGGTTATAAAATTTTGACTTTGGTTAAAAAGCAAAAATGGCTATACTTACTAGGTTAAAATGCCTGAGCCACCAAAAATAGTAAGTATAGCAATTTTTGCTTTGTAACCATAGTCAAAATTTCATAACCACGTTTGTTTTAACTAAATGGTTTATACTTATTTTAGGCGATTTTAAACCTGATGATGGACTGTTTAGTCCGAAAACGTTTGTTTTTTTTATGTAGCCCCTTTTAAGGGTTTTTAAATAAATATACCCACTTTCGAAGACTTACCTCCTTTTTTGTGATACGTGGTATACAGCCAGCTACAGGAACTGTTTTGCTTGTGGATTTTGATAATTATTTTCAGCGCGCCCCCTCTTGTACAATAACAATATATGTATGCAATAATAACGTACCTTGAGTATTTTGACGTTAAACTTACTTCTTCTTCTTAGAGTGCCATATCCCTACGGAACGTCGGCGACTAGCATGCTTATAATATTGTTATACTGATTTCGGTCTTGCGCTACGTGTAGCAATTGGTCCGCTGTCAAACCTGTCCACTGCCGCAAATTCCTCAACCAAGAGAGTTTCTTCCGTCCTATCTATTTCTTTCCTTCGATTGTACCGTTGAGAATTAGCCGAAGGAACTCATATCTTGGTCCTCTGATTATTTGTCCAAGATATTCTAGTTTACGCCTCCTAATAATATTTAATAGAGTTCGTTGATGTCCCATTCTACGAAGAACTTCTTCGTTTCTAGTTCTGCTAGTCCATGGAATTTTTAGTATCCTTCGATACAACCATATCTCAAACGCCTAGATTTTATTCATGATATCGACGTTTAAAGTCCAAGTTTCACATCCATATAAAAGTATAGACCACACGTAACATCTTGTAAACTTTTCACGGATTTCCAAATTTAATGAGTTATTGGATAATAGAGGCTTGAATTTTTGAAATGAGTTTCTTGCCTGTTCAATTCTACATCGAATTTCGAAGGATGGATCTAGATTTTGGGTAATCCAACATCCAAGGTATTTGAATCTCTGATCTCTTTGCAGCGGTTGTTGATTTAATATCAGTTTGGTTGCGCTGATATCCACTTTACTGGTCACCATGTATTTAGTTTTATCGATGTTTATCGACAGTCCCCAATTTGTGCATTCCATGTCAACTCTATTGATTAGCTCCTGCAGATCGTCGATGTTTTCAGCTAGAATCACAGTATCGTCGGCGTACCGTATATTGTTAATTATTTCTCCTCCTATGATAATTCCTTTTTGATCTTTTAAAGCTTCCCTAAATAGATTCTCAGAATACACGTTAAAGAGGGTGGGAGATAGTATACAGCCTTGTCTTACGCCTCGTTCAATACTGATTGGCTTTGATTCTCTGTTGTTGGTATTCATAATGGCTGTTTGGTTCCAGTAAAGTTTGGCAATAAGTTTGATGTCTTTCTCATCTAGTTGGGTGCTCTGTAAGGCGGTAATTAGTCTGGTATGCTGAACGCATACGCATACACATATATACGGGTTTTCTTACCTCCCAACATCGTTGAAGGAGTGTTTGCATAGAAAATAGTGCTTCTCTAGTTCCAAGGCATCTCCGGAACCCGAACTGCTCTTGACTAATTATTTCTTCGCACTTGTTGTTAATTCGGTTTAGAAGAATATGCAACAGTATTTTAACGGCATGGCTCATTAAACTAATGAGTCTACAATCGCTACATTTCTTAATGTTTGGTTTCTTAGGTAGAGGAATAAAGATCGATTTTAACCAGTCAGATGGAATTTCACTGGTATCATATATTTGATTGAAAAGTACAGTGAGTTCTTTTATATTGTCACTTGAGAGTAATTTTAGCCATTCGCTGTATATTTGATCTGGTCCACTGGCTTTGCTGTTTTTGGCTTGGTGTATGGCTATTTCCACTTCAGCTTTTAAGATTGATATTCCTGTATTTGGATTAGAGAAAAGCCGGGATTACTACAGTCTCAAAAAAGGCTTAAGAACAAAGACTGCAATGGTTTGGTCACCTCAGATATAAAAATGAAAACTATGTGGAACGAAGAATAAAGCTGTTAGAAGTTGAGGGCAAGAGAGGTAGAGGAGAACCAAAAAGAATACGGAAGGACCCTGTAGCAGAGGAAAGGTTTTAATGAAGAAGACACTATGGATAGGTATGAGTGACGAAAGAGAGCAAGGAACAGCGATCTGATTGTTAAAAGGAAGAAACTAAGGAGGAAGACGAGAATCTGGTATTTTGTACTTACTTTTTTGGGTATTAGGATAAAATATGGCAAAAACTACATATTTTATATTTGATACGAGAAAATATGAAATATATATCTATTAAAAAAATTTAATAATTTAATTTAAAAATTAAATTTAATTATAACAATAACAGTTATGACTGACTCCTAAACAAAATTTACTGCCTTCTTTACAACATAACCTATAATACTTCTTAGATAAATTGATGTAAATGGTAATTATTAAAAAAGTGTTTCTCAATAATGAATATTATCTGACTTAAGACATACCTTTTATGAAACCAGAGGATATTTTTAATTTTTAAAATAGGACACTTTTATGAGACACAAAACATATTTCACAACACTCAACAACATTCACTACAGAATTAAATCAGAAAGAATTTATAAATTTATTTTATACCGTAGATATTTTGTTTACCGTAATTTATCAATTAATGATGGCTGGGCGAGTGAATGATTGGTGTTACGAAAGGTTATGGCGTAGGTACATGCAAGAAATGTGTCTCATTTTAATCTTAATAGAATGTTTTAAGGTGATCACCAAATTTATCTTTTTTTGCTTTTCTGGAAAATACGAACATTTTTTATTGTATTACTTATTAATTCAATATTATTAATCGAAAGCTGGTTCACGTAGAGGAAAAAACAAGTTTTAAACCGATACTTCTCCATCTATCTGCCTAGTTATAGCTAATTATCATCTTATTGTCATCATTATAAATATATCATGTTTATAGTTCTTGAAATTTTTCTCTATCAGTTTCTGTGCAAAATTGCTGTTCAGCTGTCATATTGCATCATTGTCTAAGATTGCGTAGCCAAGATAGCTTTTTATGTTCCATAGACCTTTTGTCTTTGACTTTTCACTATATCACTCTATCATTCAATCTTCTCTTGTCTACTGTTTTACATATATCCCCTTCATAATTTTCTATCTATTTCAATCTTATGCCTCTTGCATCCAAATACTATGGCTTCTTCTTCTTACGGTGCCTTATCCTTAAGGACGTTGGCCATTACATTTGCCCATTTAATCATTTGTAGCAGCCCTGAATAGTTCTATGGAGGTCATGTTCGTCCATTGCCGTAGGTTTTTAAGCCAAGATTTGCGTCTTCTTCCTGGTCCTCTTTTGCTATTGACTTTGCCTTCGATTATAAGTTGAAGCAGTTCATACTTTTGATTTCTTATGATGTGACCAAAATATTGTGTTTTCCGTTCTTTTATTATAAGCATAAGCTCTCTTTCCTTATTCATCCTCCGCAAGACTTCCGCATTTGTCGTATGGCTCATGTAGGATATTCTGAGCATTTTACGGTAACACCAGAGTTCGAATGCTTGGATTCTTTTTTGTGTTGCTTCTGTCATTGTCCAGGCTTCAACACCATAGAGCAAGGTGGAGAAAACATAGCACTGAAGTATTCTATTTCTCAATGAGATGCCCAGCTGGCGGTTGCATGATCCTTAAGTCTTTATCGTCGATATTACATGACCTTAAAATATCTATTAGTTTATCATGTTTCACCAGGTCAAACGCCTTCTGAAAGTCTATAAAACACAAGTATACATCAGAATTGACATCTCTACATCTTTCAACTAGCACACGTATTGAAAAAAGTACTTCTCTTGTTCCGAACCCATTCTTAAAACCAAACTGAGTTTGACCAGTGTGTTCGTCTAGTTTATTGTATACTCTATTGTGTATTACTCTAAGGAAAAGCTTCAACATATGATTTATCAGGCTAATAATCCTGTGGTCTTCACATTTCTTGGAGTTTCTCTTCTTTGGTAGTGGTATAAACACCGATGTCAGCCAATAATTTGGTATTATGCCTCTTTCGTATATTTTGCTAAATATATCTTCCATTACTTCGATGTGTTCGTCTAGTAATATCTTTATTATTTCAATTGGGATATTATCTTCCCCAACAGCTTTTCCGTTCTTTATCTGATTTGCCGCTTTGATAATTTCTTGCGTTGTGATATAAGATCCACTCGATGCTTCCTGCATGTAAATGTTCGTCCTCTCTCGTTCTTGAAACATCTTTTCCACGTATAATATCCATCTACCTATTTGATCCTTTATGTTCAGTAGCGGGTTCCCATGTTTATCTTCGGTGAAAGACGTAGAAGTTTGTTTAAATATTCCAGCGGCTTCTTTTACTTTTTTATGTAGATTGAAAGTATCATGTCTTTGTTCCAACTCTTCAATTTCTTGGCATCTTTCACTTAGCCAGGTTTCTTTGGCTTGTTGGATCTTTATTCTGTTATTCTTGTGTATTTTCTTGTACGTTGTTTCATTTTTACCTCTGTATTTTCTTCTTTCGTCCATCATGTTTAGAATTTCTTCTGTCATCCATGGTTTGTTCTTTTTTCGTGTATCTTGTTTGAGGTGGTCTTCTGTTACTCTTTTAAGTGTTTTCCCAATATAGTGCCAGTCTTCCTCGGGAGTTTGTGTCGATTGTACTGTTCTGTTACTCAAGTGTCTATGTATTTCTTCCCGTATTTTATTACCTGTGGATTCTTCTTTAAGCTTATCTAAGTTAATAGCTATTATTTGTTTATTTCTTTTTGTTCTTTTAAATTCTATCCTAATTGTTGCAAGAAGAAGATTGTGGTCGGTGGGGATGTCAGCTCCGGGGTATGTCTTGCATGCTTTTACTGCGTTTTTGTATCTTTTGTTGACCATTATGTAATCGATTTGATTTCTTGTGATGCGTCCTTCTATTCCATCTGCAGGAGATTTCCACGTGTAGAGACGTCTGGGTGGTAACTTGAAAAAGCTGTTCATTACTATGGCAGCATTGTAAATCGTCAGTCCAACGTGTCGGTGGACGATCTCTACTTCGGTAGATATCATTTCTTCGTCTCCATTTCAGTATCCGCTTTGTCCATTTGTTATCTATCATTAGAGCCACGTGAGTTGCCTATTTTCACTCCAGTAATGCTATTTTGTGATAACCTACGGCGCAGAAATCCTAACACTCACGAGAACAACAGTGAGTAAACTACAAGTTACGGAAAGGGCAATGAAGAGAACAATGTTAGGAATTTCTCTCTACGTGATAGAATACCCAATGCTACTACATGCAAAAGATCAGGAGTACCAGACGTTATTGAAAGGATAACAACACTAAAGTGGAACTGGGCGGGTCATGTGGCAAGATCAGTTGATGACCGGTGGACAAAAAGAATTTTGGAATGGAGACCCTAAATACAAGCTAACAGAAATAGAGGTCGACCCCCAACGAAATGGACAGATGACATAAAAAGAGTGACTACAAATTGGATTCAGATGGCGCAAAATCAAACTAAGAGAAAAAGCATGTAAGAGGTCTATGTTCAGCATTGGACGTTAGAGGCTAGTTGATGATGCTGATGATGACTGCTATTCTCTCTGTAGCACCAACCACTCCATCGCCCTTTGAGCCACGGATATTTTTCACTGTTCTCCTTGTCATAATCAACGTTTCCGCTTCGTAAGATTTTCTTTTAAGACTTATTAATATGTCTTGACGTTATCATAAAGAAAAACCAATTCCAAGGTTTTCATCACTCTGTTTATTGGAAACCCACCCATACCAATCGTTACTTGCATGCCAACTCTCATCATCCACCTTCACAAATTAATTCAGTCATCAATACTCTTGTCTCTCGCTAGACTTGCTGGGTTCTCTTGTTTGAAACAAGCCCTAATCCAAAACGGTTACCGCGAAAATCACATCAATAGGAACATCCATAGACATCAATCTCCCACTCAATGTCAACTAAAGGACTCAGACCCTCGTCGTATGAAAGCTTTTCGTCCTTACATCAAAGATACCACTGATAAAATCGATAAAATTCTTAAATCAAGAGAAATACAGGCCATATTTACCGCCGAGAAAAACTTTCATCTCTTGTCCGATCAATCAAATACATTCTAAATTAACAACACGAAATTCCTTGTGCAGGTCAACATTTCTTGAACAAATGGTCAAGCGAATACCTACGAATTCGTGCTTTCGTGTGCGTATTGATTTAAATGCATCTTTAGAAAAGAATAACATCGAGAAAAGCTGGAAAAAACTTAAAAATAACATAACTACCGCAGCAATAGAAGTGCTTTGAGAGGAAAAAGTAACGAACACTGACATACCAAGTGTCCAATATCAAATCGTCAGAATTCATATCCGAAATTGGACAGTATAATTTTATCACCCAGTAGATCGAATGAATTTATTCGTTATTAAATACACACACGTAGTTAATTAGGTTACATACGGATTTGGTCAATTATCAACAATATCATTTGGACATCAGTCAAAAGTGCTGACAAAGTTAAACAATTTACATAAATTAGACACACATATCACGCGAGGCCCGCGAATATATTGACCCAATTAAAACTTGTTTAAAACTAATATCTCCTGCCTAGAGAAGCATTCAATCAATATTCACTCAACAAACTTGATAGTCTTCAGCGATCAACTGCAACAGTCTCTACTCAAAGTAATCCCGGGTCAACACCCATAGTGTACGTTTCATCAATAAACTCTGCTACTATTATTTAAGTAAGGTGGGGGGTCGTGTTTGATGTCATATGATAGATTTACAAAGAACAAAATAAATAAGTCATCATCATCATCATCTTTGGCTCTACAACCCTGGGTGGGTCTTGGCCTGTTCAAGAATTAGTCTCCATTCCCCTCTATCTTTTGCCCTGGCTTTTCACTTTTTGACCCCTAGATTCCTCAAGTCATCTTCGACTTGAGTTTTGAATCTAGATCTTGGCCTGCCTCTCTTCCTGGTTCCTACTGGCTCTTGATAGAATATCTGTCTTTGGGGGCCTTCAGTGTCCATTCTTGCAAGGTGTCCTAGCCACCTTAGTCTGTTAATTTTAATAGACCGGACGATGTTGCATTTTTATAGCATTGATACAACTCAAAATTGTAGCGGCTGGTCATATCCCGCTTTCTTGTACTCCTCCGTATATGTGTCTAAGTATTCGTCTTTCAAAGCGGCTTAACAGTTCTTCGTCGCTTTTTATCATAGTCCATGTCTCTGACGCGTATGCCAGGACAGGATTAATAAGAGTTTCATATATTAGTATTTTGGTTTTTCTGCTGTTAAGAACTGATTTAGTCCAAAGTAAGCCCTGTTCGCCAGGTATATTCTTCTCTTAATTTCTACGCTTACTAGGTTGCTGTTCTTTAGTTGTGTTCCAAGATATATAAACTCCGAGACCCCTTCGAATGTGTGTGCTTCTGTCACCAGATCTTGTGGTGCCGCTATCTGTGTGCTGTTCGTGACCTTCATGTATTTTGTTTTGGATAGGTACGTTAGCCTGCAGTCCCATTATCTTCGCGGCTT